TCGGGATGCTGCTCCCCTACCTGGGGGAGCAGGGAGGGCGGAGGAGCTGTTTTCCTTTTGAAAGTTGGTTGCCTGAAGGCCAGGCCAGCGTGTGGCCAATGGAGAAAGACTGCTTGCTCATGGCCCTGAGCACTAAAGGAGAGGGAGGTCACCCTGAGCAGGAGCCACTTGGGCAGCCTCTCTGTCCCCACTCCCGAGGAGCCAGGTCACACTGTCCTGAGGGGCTGTGAGGTGGCTCAGCCGCGGCTCAGCTGAGGGATGCCAGTGGGCAGTCAGCACTTTCTAAAGAAGGGTCATCCCACAATGTGGAAATTGTAGAGCTCGGTGTCTGACTGGGGCCTGCTGCATTGGGCATCAGGTGTGCACTGCACCCTCGGTCACTCCTCTGCACTGGGACCCCGTTTCCTCTAGTTGAGCAGTGGTGGGCTTGAGCAGTGCTGAAGAGAAAAGCCACTTCTCCTTTGCGTTGGTTTGTGATGGTAGAATAGACCGACTTACCTGAAACCCTGCCTGTGCACTGCCTGTTACAGCACATAATTAAACTGCCTCTGCTTTTTGAAGAAGCCTCCAGGTGAGATCAGGTGTCTGTGTTTTCCAGAGAGCGCATACGGCTGCAGAAGAAATTCCAGAAGCAGTTTGGAGTGAGGCAAAAATGGGACCAGAAATCACAGGTGGGTAACGTTGCCTAGAGCAGAGCTGCCTGGGAATCCCTAGCGATGGTCATTCCCATGCTGTTTACCAGTCAAAGCGAACAGCCCGCTGCTTTTCATCCAGTCTCGAGTCGGATGACCATTCCCGCAGTCGATTGCAGACCATTCTCCTCGCCCCAGAAGGAACCCGTCACTAAAGCAGTCGCCCAGCATCATCCCCACCTCACCCCACCCCACCCCTGGGCAGTCACTGCTCTGCTTTGTCACCACGACTGGCCTGTTCTGATCTTTCTTACGAGTGGTCGCCGTGGCTGTTTCTGTCATGTTCACCGGTGCATCGCGCCCATCAGGATTTGTTTTTATTTATGGCTGAGTGGTTCGATATTCTTCACTTTGAGGCTGTTATCAACCGTGCTGCTCTACATGTCTTTCCACGCTAAAGAAAGGTCGTCCCACAATGTGGAAATTGTAGCGCAGTAGCATTAATATCACATGTGAATAAAGTTACGCTGCAGGTAATGGAGATCAACAGGGAGCTGCCAGAGCTCCAAGCTTGATTCAGAAGAGGACGTGGAACAAGGGCTATCATCGCTGGCATCCAATGGATCTTGGCTGGAAGCAGAGAATACCAGAGATGCCTTCCTGGGTTTTATTGACTATGCAAAGGCACTCAGCTGTATTGACCTTAACAAACTGAGTATAGCTTTGTGAGGAGTGGGGATCCCAGAAGATCATGTGCTCATGTGGAACGTGGACCTGGACCAGCAAGTGTAGAACATGGACATGTTGACTGGTGTAGAATCAGGAGACGTGTGTGTTGGGTTGTATGGAATCAGAGTGGCTGGTGACACGAACAGCGCTGTGTCAGGATTGGCAGGAGGCTGGTAACAACCTGCAGTGTGCGGATGACACACTTGATTGCTGTTATGAGAGGGACTTCCACAGCAGCGAAGAAACGCTGACTGGTAAAGGTCAAAGACTCTACAGCCTTCAGTGTGAATTACATACGACTCCACATAAACTTGTCTTTTTTCAGCCCTCGCAACTCGTCTGAAGGGCAACAAATATCCTGAGAAACAGAAAAGGTCGAAGTCGTCGAGGATTCCCTTTGACTGGTGTCCACAGCCAACACCCATAAAGACAGCCCAGAAGTCAAATGACGCAAACCATGGCTGACGGGGGCTAGTGGGCGCACCATGCAGTGTCAGAAGAGAATAGATCTGTGCTCAAAGAAGGACAGCCAGATAGCTCCTTCGGAGGGAGGGTGGTGAGACTATGTCTCACGTACTTTGGACGTGCATCAGGAGAGACCCATCCATGCTTGGAGTAGAGGGTCCACGAAAAAGCTGCCTCATGAGTGGGCTTAAGCCTACAGTTGGCTGAGGACCAGCCAGTATTTTGTTGGATGGGTGTGAGCACCTAGCAACAGCAGATCATTGCAGACACCCTTCTGTTGACGCATCTCTATTT